GGAAGGGGAGTGTGGGATTCACCACCCCAGCGGAACTTTGCTGGAGTAGCGCCTACCCACTAAAACCCCACCCCTTGTTTGCTTGGTCCTCTCCTGCCATTAAGTGGGAGAGGGCTGGGAATTGCCAGAGGCATGTCATCCAGACCCTCTCCCTGGCTTGCCTTATTACATGGCTCGTCAATTCTTCCCCCTTTCTAGGGAGGGGTGGGAGGTTGCCCTCCTCCGTCTTTAAATTGTCTACCTCTTGGGGGCTGATGGGGAAGGGGCAGGTGCCCAAAAGGGGCTCAACCTTCCCCCCCCCCTCTCCCCCTGACCCTCACCGCGAGACGACAATCTAGTTAATAGGCTGCCGTCCCGCGGGGGGCCTAACTTCTTTGGGTGAGAGAGGGATTATATATCCCTCTCCACCGAAGGGTCCACCCAACCTGACCCTGCAACCGGTTCCAGGATGCTCGAAAGACGATCCGGAGATAAAACTGAGGAGGCTATTCGGCGACCTATCCCCGAAAAATAAATAAGTAGATGTAAGAAAAATGTAACCATAGGCTAAGTTAATTGAAATAAATATCTTTTTACTTAACCGTTATTATAAAATAATATATTCTTTAGAATTACATTAGACTTACGATTAAAAGCGTAAATAAAGCGCGAATAAACAATTAAAATAAATTAAATAAATACTTCCCATACTCACCATATAACCAACAGACGTTACCTGGAATAATAAATAATTGTTAATCTTTCCTTAAGATTTTAGTTAGGTTAACAAACAACAAGGTCAGAAAAGTGTAAATGTAATGACCATTATTAATTTTATTATGTATTTAAAAAATGTAATAATCTTAAGTTTAAAAATCGCGCCTGCTCAACCGTTGACCGAGCTGATCAGACGCGGACCAAACCAAGATGGCGGCAACTGACGACCGCCAGCACGAGCTCCACGATTGGCGGAGACCTTCCAAAGCGGTGATTGGCCGCAGAACAAGCGGAAGGGATACCATGCCAGCGGACGGGTATATAAACCCGTGCCAGGAGGAATCGACAGTAGTGGATTGAGTAAAATGAAGTAGAAGGGAAGAGGACTCGAAGCGAGAGTCCGCCGCTCAGCGGAGTGGTCGGTAACGCGACGACCAATTGTAAACGCGAGTGACCGAGATGTTATCGGCGCGCGTAAAAACATTGTAAGCCACGATGGCTAATCATAAGTGTACTTTTATTTTGTTTGATATTAAATATATACTGTTTATTTTAATTAATCATTAAAATAAAGTGTGCACAAGTTATTTCGGTCCGTACCTGTGTAAAGAAAGGTAGCAACACTTACCTTATCCGTTCTGCATCCCGGTGATCCATCGTACGTGCGCAAGGTGAACCTGTGAACATAAAAAATTGGATTAGAACGAGATACGTTGCAACATCTCATCAGGCGTCTTCGTCCACGCTGAAGGAAGCGACATCCGAGCCCGAGGGTCACGGAAGGACGAGACGAGGATCGCAACCTTCTCGCTTGTAAGGTTAAAGCGAGTGGCGACCAAAACTACGGCGAACGTATTGCTGCCTGCGACTGGTGAGTCCCGAGTATTATCTCTCCATGGGGCGCGTCCGGTTACAACCCTAACAGGGTCAGGCCTTCGGAGACCTCTTTCTGCGCAGCAGTCTGCTGCCAATCCCCCTCTTCCCGGCAACCGCTGCGTCCTCGACTCCGGTCAGGAAGCACAACCGCCCACGGGAGGGGGGGTTATCCGTCGTGGCCATCAAGGCCTTTAGGTCCCTTTCCCGATCGGGTGGGGGCCATTCTGGGCGGGGGAATCGAGTGCAGAGCATCCGACTCCCTTCCGCCCTATTTTGCACCGAGGTCTGCAGGTCAACCTGTCCCCAATTTGTACCTTGGGGAACGACCTCGGTGCTTTCCATCTTCAGGGCGATGAGTTCCCTGAGTTTCATCATAAAACCCACCGCCCTTTTTTGGAGCTCAGTGGCGCCAGCTAACGGACCTCGGAAGAGGAACTGAAAGTTTACCCATCCGTCCGCACTGGCGCCCCATAGGTCCGGCCTATGAGCCTTGGAAAGGCTCATTTCCTTAAGAATGCCTTCACAGGCATCCACCATCCGTAGTGAGTCTCCGTGGAGGCAGATCACCTCCACTTCAAACTCCCTGAAGGATTCGGCCTGCCGGGGATCCCACAAGCCGTCATCCGGCAACGTGGGTCCAGCATCCTCCTCCATCCTCTTCTTTGGAGGTGGGAATTTTGCCCTCACTTCCTTCTCCGCAGGTAGAGGATTCGGGGGAGTTCCCTCTTCCTCCTCCGCCTTTATCTCCAGGGGTGGGGAGTCAACCCCCACCACTTCCTCAACCACCACCTCCATCATCGGAGATGGTGGGGGGGAAGGATTAGCCCCCCTCCTTATCGTCAATTACCACCCCCA